CATTCACTCTTACCATACATATTGATGTCATCCATGTAGTGGAGGTGGCTGATGGTGATTCCACTCCTGAACTTGTACCTGTATCCAGTCCTTGTGATTGTCTGGCTGAGGGGGTTTAAGCCTATGCAAAACAGCAGGAGGGATAGTGCATCACCTTGGTATATGCTACACTTGATGGCCACTTGTGTGAGCTGTCTTGAGTTGACTTCCAGTGCTGTGTTCCACTGTCCGTGGAACTGAGTACTGCGGTTCTTACATATAGGTGGAACTGACCTTTTTGGATTTTGCCTGGAAAGAAAGTTCACTGAGGAAAATCTGTTGGATTTGCGTGAACTAGAGATGGCAGATGAAATTACCGAGTGGTGGTTGGACAGGCGGTGGACTCGATCCCAAGAATCTGGGACATTGTAAGAATTGGATGTTGCCTCGTCCTTTGAAAAGACCCCTAAGCCGAAGTGGTCAGTGGGAATTGGCGATGTAGTAGGGGAGGCTCAAGATCCGAAGGGAAAGAGAGAGCTGGAGCCCGAAGTTGCCGTATTGGGGGTTCGTATGGATAAAGTGGAAGCCAAGTTTGATTCCATGATGGATGAACTGAAGTCATTGAAAAGGATGCTAGGGAAAGTACTGGGCAGCCGAGACCAAGACTGCCAATCCAGGGATTCCGAAACGACTTCTGGAGACAGTGAGGAGGTAGGTGAGGAATCAGCACCCAGTGGAGGGGAAGAGATGATGGCCCCAGACAGGAGCAACCAAGAGGAAGGAAACCCGTTATGGCAGTGAGGGCTGAAGATGAAATTTGGGGGGAACCCAAGTCAGCTGGCATGCTTTCTGACACAGTGAGAATGTGCATGGAGAGATGTGGCCCCCTATTTCAAAATGATGTGGAGAGAGTGGCTTATGTGTCATAAGACCAGGCAGCAGAATGGGTGATGGAGATGCATGAGGCTAAAGTGGCTGAACTAACAAACTTTAACAATTTCATGAGTGCTCTGCGCGAGTGCTTCAAGGATCCTTTTGCTGCCATAAGGGCAAAGGCGAGCATCAAGCAAGTTAAACAAGGTATCGAACAGTATCAGATTACGCATTGGAATTCAGGCGGCTAGCCGGGAAACTCCGAAACTGGCCTGAAGCACTTAAGATCCAGTGTTTTTGGGAGGGGTTACAACCTGACTTTTGGAGCACTCACTAGCCAGGGGCAATCCCAAAACCCTGAAGGAGTGGATCAGCCTTGCAGGGACAGTGGAGACTGATTGGATGTCTATAAAAAGAAAACGCATGAGCACCCGATCCCCCCTCCCCATTCATCAGGGCCAATAACGAGAAGATCAAGCTGGAGACAAAAAGAAGGCAGCCAAAATCAAAGAGAGGGGAAGCGCTCTTGTTTCAAGTATGGAAAAGAGGGGCATTATGCTGTGAATTGCCCTCAAAACCAACTCCTGCCAACCACACCAAGAAGCAAGCAGCCATGGACACCATCGAAATGTCCCAAGCCAAAAGGAAGAGGAACAGTTGCTTCGGGAGTGGAGGAGCAGTCTCAAGTCCCATTGATGGTGGAGGGAGACTTCTCTGAGGATAAGCATTAGCTGGCGGGAAACTCCAGCTGCCTGGTTTAAAACACGCCCAAAAGCAGGCGGTTGATTTGGGGCGTGAAGACTTAATGGTGAGTGGGGCTTGCAATCCCATGACGGTTGGGATGAGACTGAGGGCATTAAAGACCAACTACAGAGCAGATTTGACTGTGTTAATAGACTCTGGGTGTACATGTTGCTTAATTAACCCAGTCACTGTGACTGGACTTAGACTAAGGGTGCAGAAGCTAGAAAACCCTATTGTTTTTACACCATTGGACAGATCACAAGCGGGAGGGGGCCCAGTAGAATTCTATACCGAAGCAATTGATATGAGAATTGGGACTCAATGAGAAACCTTAAGGTTCCTAGTAGCTCCGATTGCTGGCCATGCTCTAGTACTGGGTCTGTCCTGGTTAAAGCAAAGGAATCCCAAGGTGGATTGGAAGGTGGGGAGCCTGACATTTCAGGATGGTGATTACAAAGTCCCGGAGGGAATTAGCGACATACCAAGGTCGGTACGAGTGGCAGTGAGTGTGGAGTTTCCCAGACGGAGTGACACCAAAGATACCTGCACAATCCCAGAACAGTATAGAGACTTAAAAGGTGTTTAGTAAACTGGAGTCGGATCAGCTCCCCCCTCACCGAACAACAGACTGTACAATTGAAATTGAACCCAGGGCAAAATTTCCAAAACTGAAATTGTATTCTATGACCCCTAAGGAATAGGGAGCACTGAGAGAATTCATTGATAAAAACCTAAGAAGGGGATTTATACAACCTGCAAAATCACCATTGGCAGTGCCTGTCCTCTTTAGAGAAAAGAAAGATGGTTCATTAAGACTGTGCACAGAGTATCGGGGTGTAAATGCTATCTGTAAGGAAAATAAATACCCCCTCCCTTTGATGAAGGACTTGTTAGCCCACCTGGGAAGATTTTTACCAAGTTGGATTTGAGGGAGGCGTATTTCAGAGTGCAGATTAGAAGGGGAGATGAATGGAAGACAGCGTTCAGCTGCCCCCTTGGTTGCTTTCAATATCTGGTAATGCCATTCGGGTTATTGGGAGCCCCTGGTGTATTCATGCAATTGATAAATGAGGTGCCACATGAACTTTTATACAGGGGAGTGTTAGTATATCTGGATGATATTCTAATTTACACAGAAATGATGGAAGAGCATCTAAAATTGGTGAGGAAAGTACTAAAGAAATTGTTAAACACCCAGTTATATGCAAAACTTTCCAAATGTGAATTTCACAAGAATCAAATTGATTATCTCGGATATCGGATATCCAGTAGAGGGATTGAGATGGATCCGGGTAAAGTGCGTGATGTAGTTGGATGGAAGGCGCCAAAAACTTCCAGGCAGCTACAGAGTTTCCTGGGGTTTGCAAATTTCTACTGCCAGTTCATTCCAAACTTTGCTCAAGTCACCCTCCCTCTCACTGACCTGTTAAAAGCAAAAGGGAAGAATGATAAGGCGAAAGCCCAAAGACCAGGGGTGCCTTTAAATTGGACAGAAGAATGCCAGTCAGCATTTGAGCAATTAAAGAGACTGTTTACTGCAGAACCAATCTTAAAACACCCCGACCGTGAGAAACCTTTTATCATCCAAGCAGATGCATCAGATGTGACTATAGGGGCTGTTTTACTACAAAAGACTGAAAATGGGGTGTTGCATCCTTGTGCCTACATTTCTTGAACATTTACTGATACTGAGACAAACTGGTTAGTGTGGGAAAAGGAAGCTTTTGTCGTGGGCACTAATGACTTGGAGGCATTTGTTGGAAGGGTCATCTCCTTTTGAAGTCTGGACTGATCATAAAAATTTAGTGGCTTTAAATTCTCCAAGGAAATTATCACCAAAGCAAGTCAGATGGGCTCAGTTTTTCAGTCGGTTCAATTTTACTTTGAAATATATACCAGGGGG